AAAGGGAGCTCAACCACCCAGTGGGGGGTGGGAGCAGGAAGGGTGAGGTCCGGTGTCTGAGCACTCACCGGGTCGTTGAGGTTTCCTCATGGATTGTAAGAATATTGATGTAGACATCAATATTGACCAAGTCAGATGTTACAGGGAAGGTTTACAGGTGGTGGCACACTGGGGTGACAGTTACAATCACTGGGTGATAGTCTGAGATTGTATATTTGATAAAGAGAACAGTTCCGGCATCTGCCTTATACATCATATGACTTCTAACTATCTAATATAAAAATCATAATGGTCAAAGGAAGTCCCTTGAAACTCAACAAATCCCCCAGCCAGCACCAAAACCCAGTGGGAAAGCTTGGCATGGGGTTTGACAAAGAAATAAAGTTGGAGGGGCTAAGGTTTGATTGTCTATAGTCATGGACCATAAGATTCTAGGTCCATTCCCATAACAGTTAGGGCACAGACATGTTACTTGGCACAGCGCTCCTGGCATAAGTTGCTGAGGCTGAAGCCCTCCGCCACAGAGACATTCCTTCATCTTGACCTGGTCTCTGACAGTATTTTATTACTCCCTGACTAGTACACGTCTTGTATGGCACCAAAAGCCCCCGGCACTCATTCACAACTATGCACATTAGTTCCCAACTCTGTGTCACGGCCCCGCAAAGTCCCCACCCTTACCACTTTCTGCGCCCCCATTCTTGCACCCATTACTTGCGCCCATTAATCGCACCATTGCCCATCACTTAGCGGCACTGATAGTGGTTCCCGTCCTATGGCCCCATAGCAGCGCCTCCTTCGTTCTCCTGCCACCACTTGAGTTCCTCAGCCATTCGGCCGATACCATTTTATTTGCTTAACTAACTAGCGGTTGATATGGTCGCCGCTGATCTGCTCCTTATTGACATTTGGTTATTCCTTTATTGACATTTGATTTATTCGTATATTGACATTCTGATCTGCCACCATATTGGCACCTAGATTGTCAGCCTATTCATTCTGCCTCCCAACTTCGCCATCCTCTGTTCCATTTCCCTGGTCCTCATTGCTCTTTTAGTTCTGTCATACTTACCATCCTGCTCCTGTCCTGTGCCGGACTGACTGGCCCCTTCTCTGTTCTCCTTTCGTATTTATACTTGTAGTTTACTGTCGATGTACCTTAGTTCGAATATTGACTAGAATTCCCCCCCAAGTACTCTCATCTTAAGTTCGCCTCTCAACTTCATCCCAGCTTAAGTCAACGTTGCCGCAAGGTCTTTCCCACTAACGTGAAATACGGGACAGCCTAGAACGCGTGGCACAACGCTCTAGCCAAGTCGTTGAAGCCAAAGTCCCAACCCCCACAACACCTTGCAACGGAGTAGCTCATTAGCTAAGTGACCACTCACGCCACCATACTCTGCTCTGCTTCCCGTGATCACCTTGAATACAGTTTCTGACACTCTGCCTCACCGTCCCCAGAACCCTCACAGCCTGGTCCTAGTCAATTGGTGAGAAACCCAGTTGAGTTTTGCAGCTTTTCTAATCTAGAAACTCCTCTCCCGTCGACTCCGATCATGCTCCTGTTGTTAGAACCGGCGGACTCAGACGACTCCGGAGTGGAATCGGAGACTTAGCGTGGAAGGACCTCGGCCTCAGCGACTCATGCGGAGTGCTGTGCCATTGCTGGTTGTCCTAGGGGTCCCTAATTTCGGATCTAGCAGAGGGAAAGTCTCTTGGGGGAATTCATGTCGATTTCGGACTGAGGTTACAAGTTACTAGGTACATTGTATATAAGGAGGGGTCCGGAATCAAAAGGAACAAGGGTAGGACAAAAGGAGACAAAGGGAGGTGGAAAGAGGAACAACACTGAGGGTCAAGGGTTTGACTCAATAATGTTTCCCAAAGGAGGAATGAAGGGCCAAGGCCCAAGGAGGAAGGAAGGAGGTTGGGAGTGGGGAATGGCTAGCTGACTGAATAGAAAGGAAGCAGCAGCCCAAATAGGAATGAGGGAGAATAGCGGAATTGAATAGGACAATGCAATAGTTGCAAGGTCCGAGGTAAGTCTGGAAAGTCCGAACTTGGAAGTTAAACTCCGGAATATGCCATGCAAAACCCTCCTCCTCTAACATCTTCGACAAGTCCACCACCGCCTCTCGTTCCGACCCTGTTCCCTCCTCCTCTTTCAACTCTGCTTCCAGTAGCAAGCCTCTGAAGGACAATAAGAAGTCGGAGGCCAGCTCCGCTAAACCGGACCTTTCATCTCTGCAGAGGCAAAAAATTAGTCCACACCCCCATGGACTCCACATGGACCGGGGGTTGCGATTCTTCCCTCTGTGCACTCAAAGAAGTGCATTTAAATGCATCTTCCATCTCTGACTTATCCTCCCTCCATATTCCCGTTTCTTTTTATGGTCTATTTTCTCCTCTTGATGTTGACCCTTTGGTTAATGTTCTACCCGTTGTAGATAGTGTTGCTGATGTACCACTCTCTCCTCTGCCCCCTCCGACTACTTCCGTAGATTGATCCACCTCTTTCCATTTCTCTTCTCCTGTCTCTTCTTCTCCTCCATCCGATGATAGGACACAAAATAAACTTTTCTGCACCTATGAGAATGTACCCACACTCATAGACTCTGGGTCTTTGGACTGCTTCGTCGACAACACATTCGTAAAGAAGTTGGCCTTGAAGACATATCAGATAAAACCCCTACAACTACACCTTTTCGATGGTAGCACCAACTCAATCATAACCCATGCCGTTGATATTCCCCTCCACTTCTTCCGGAAACATCACCCCCACGACCTTCTTTGTCACATCGCTGGATGGATCATGTTCCCTAGTCCGGCTTACCCACTACAATCCATTGATTGACTGGGTCTCAAGCAGTATTACGTTCCGAACTTCTGAACCTACCAAGACAGTTACTCCGAGCTCTCCCCCGTCGTCTCCGGTACCATTGCCATCACCTGACATCCAACCATCTGATGTTCCACCAGCACCTCAGTCACAGGCTCCCATTCCTCTGTTACCATCTATCGAGTTTGTCAGCCATTCCGCATTCATGAAGGCTTGTCAACTTGAAGGATCGGTATCCTTCAGCATAACCATCCCCTCCAAGGACAGCCACTTGAGGGCTGCCTCATCCCACACCAATTCCATTGACCTCTCGGCTGTTCCAAAGGAGTATCATGAGTTCGCAGATGTGTTCAGTAAGAGCAAAGCCTTGACGCTGGCACTGCACCGTGAGCATGACCTGAAGATCAACCTTGAGGAAGGCCTACTTTGGAACTCGAGGCTCTCCAGGCCTTCTTAGATGAACACCTAGCCTCCGGGTTCATTTGTCCCGCTACTTCCACTCATGTGGCACTGGTCCTCTTTGTCCGCAAGAAGGATGGATCCCTCCATCTTTGCGTTGACTTTCGAGGGCTGAACAAGATCACCAAAAAGGATCGCTACCCACTCCCCCGCATCTCAGACCTCCTTGATGCCCCTAGCCGTGCCACAGTCTATACCAGACTCGACCTCCGGCATGCTTACCACCTGGTTCGCATTGCAGCAGGTGATGAATGGAAGACCTCCTTCCACATGCGCTATGGTTCCTATGAGTGGCTCGTCATGCCATTCAGTCTCATGAATGCACCCGCAGCCTTCCAGCGATTCGTCAACACGATCTTTGCCAACCTCTTGGACATTTCTGTGGTAGTCTACCTAGACGACATCCTTACCTACTCGGAAGACATGGCTTCACATCAGGAGCATGTCTGAGAAGTTCTTAGGAGACTCCGCAAACATGGCCTATATGCCAATCCAAAGAAATGCGAATTTCATATGGACACTATGGTACGGAGCTTGAGAAGGCTCAGGTCAACTTTCAAAGATTTGCCAATATTTCAATATTGTGTTTCGCCACTAAACCATAAATCAATAAGAATATAAAATACATTCCATAGTCACCTGATGTGTCTGTGCCTGTCCGTTCGTTGCTGGCTCCAGCCTCAGCGCTAAGGTGGCACTCTGGCTCACAGCGTCTATTCTTCTGTTTCACCTGATGCATGCACAGTGTCTATTCTCGTCACATCAGCTTCCTTTCTGCTACACCATGCCATTAAGTCTTTTACAACTGGTTTGTCGCCACTTCCACTTCCGAAGTCATCTTGGGCTTTGGCTCCCGATGTCTATTCCCCTTGGCTACTCTGAACCGGGTTGGTGTCAGAGACCGGATTCGAGACGAAAGAGTGTCTCTGTAGTGGAGGGCTTTGGCCTCAGCGACTTCTGCCAAGAGCGCTGTGCCTAGTGACACGTCTGTGCCCTAACTTACTGACTGGCAATCAGAACCGAAGGGGGGTAACTCTAGTCGATTTTATTACTGGAGTGTAACCTATGTACAAGTGGGATATATATATGGTTACAGCGAAGATGGGTCCGCCATTGGCGGAGCCGAATGGAGCGGAGCTAACGGGGTTAAACATTAGCCAACTGAATATTACCGACGACTCAGGTCACAGGGTTAGCGGAAAGGCAGGCGATAACCCAGAAACGGAAAGGAGGGATAGGCCCAAAGGTGGGCTCTGCAGGGCAGGTGAGTGTATTGCCCAGCGGAGACGGGAGTGCGCTAGCGGACGTCGGAGCTGTCTGGAAGTCTTCGGGGCTCCGTACTGAGGGAGGCGTAGGTAATAAATTGAAATGAGGGGGTGGTGACCATCGAGGGGTACCGAGAGGATTGCAGGATACGGGAGCTCCGAGGTTAGTGAAGAAGGAGCGGAGTTAGACCAGAGGGAATGGAGGGACCGGAAGTCGATGGCCGGGGATGGATATGACAGTTGGGTTGCTTTCTGCTATATCATGTGACATCAGGCTTCTACAATTCCGAGAGTCACTCTTGTTGGCGCTCTAATCCTTGCTCGCCACTCAGCTTAGGCACGTGACCAGCCTCTCTTTAACGGGAACACTCAGCTGCCACTGCTCCGAAGCATTTAAAACCTATCCTATTGCTTGACCACCATCTTCCACCACCTCGATGGCACACAATCATAACCCCAGTGGGAAAAATCAATATGATTTTGTCCGTAAGTAGATCTTGCCTCATGCTACTGGTTCGCTGTCAGCTCTCCTTCAGCCAAGGCTTCGGATGCCCGCCTCGCTGAGGCATTGCAGCGATACCATAAGGAGTTCATCACAAACCCTGTGGTAATAAAGGAGCTGCTTGCAGCTGAGCCTGAGCCCATTCATATGAGGTATTTTCTATGTTATAAAAACATTCAGATCATAACTGTGAGTCTGATTCTAGTGTCCAAACGATCCAGCATCGGAGGAAAGAACTAGGTCTTGTAGGATCTCATACCACAGCAAAAAAGATGCACTCCACCCGTGAAACTCAACTCGTGCTAGACCAGATGGGCAAAGATCCAAACATGAGGAGAGGAGTCAGATTGACGCATGCAAAGATAGCAATGGAAACAGGAGTCCACCTGAGACAGTAAGTGTTGTTTACTACTTTTACCTTTGCCCTGGCTGAACTGAATCCTCAGGGAGCATGTTAGGGAGATAATGCAGCAATTTGAGCTTGAAGGGTTTGAAAAGCGAGAGCCATGTGGCAAGAAGATCAGGCGACACCCTATTATTAGTGTCGGCCCAGGTGCAGAATGGAGTGGTGATGGCCATGACAAACTGAAGAAAATAGGCTTCTCAATCTATGGGATACGCGACATTGCACCAGGGAAATGGCTGAAACTCAAGTTATTACCTGATAACCGCTTGAAGGAGACGATTGCATATGTTTATCTTGAGTTGGTTGAAGAGCTTGGTGGTATGTACCTCGCTGTTATCGCTGCACCGCTGTTTCTCAGCAGCCTCAAGTTCAATTGATGACGGACCACGGATCAGAGACTACGCTTATGTGTGCATATGGTCATACTTTACGGTATGTGGTTTTGTGAATCCTTATGTTCGAGATATGTGACATCTTGCATGTTAGGGAATTTTTCTATCCTGAACTGAACAGCGATGAGCTTCCAGTTCATCATTTTACTTCCAGTACCTGCAATATCGTGATTGAAAGGGGATGGCTTCGGCTGTGTGAGGATTTCGGTGATAACATGGTCCTAGTGTTTAGGCAAGGAGAGCAAGAGGGGATATACAATCCTGAAAACCTAGTGCACTAGTAAGTAGTTTTGCGCATTTCAATCTTACCACTTATCCTAGTGCTTTGTGCCGGTGGCTCTGGTCATTTTTCCTGACCCAGGAATTGGATAAATGGCGTTTAGAGCAAAATGCCTTTAGGGTTCGCAAACTCAACAACAAGGTTGGGCCTTCAGGAGTCTCTGCAAATATTGCCTATGCGCTCCCAGGGAAGTTTGGCATGAGGAACGTGCTTTTGCAGGACATCGATGTCAAAATTGTCCATCACATGAAGGGAGAACTTTCCAGTGATTCCCTTCAATTTGTGCCCCCGGAGTATGCGGAGAGTGCTAAGAAAATATATGACTCCTTGAATGTCCATGAACTCTCAATTCACAATGTGTGGGTCATCTTTCGCAAAATGTTGTCCATGATGTAGAACCGCCACTGGCTTTTCTAGTATTCTATTTCCAAAGATAGAAGCTTAGAATAATTCAAACAATGTTGACAAATTACCCTAATCATTGTCTGCTAGCTTGTCATCCTCATTGTGGCCAGAAAATTGTTTGTTAGAGCCCGGCCCTTCCCTCCCCTCCATTTCAGTCCCACTCTTTCTACTACTATCATCGTCATCTGAGTCGGTATCCAAGCCAATGGCAGCACAGATCTTGTTACACTTATGTCCCTTGAGATATGCATTTATTGCACAGACTCCTTCATCGAAGTAACCCAGTCCAAGATTTGTGCCATCCGATCTAAGGTGTGGTTATAAGTTATAGTCATTCACCATCGTAATCAGATGGGACTTGCCTGAAATTAGACGAGTGCCCTTGGGGATCAAAAAGCATCCAACAGCTGGCATTGGTGGAACTCCTCCAAATACCTAGTTGTAGAAATAAATATTTTCCCAAAGAAGTAAGGAGTCTAAGTAACTTCACATACCTTGAAGGTCGGTAATCAAGTATTTTCCGCTGGACACCCTGTTAGTATAATGCTGAAATGCATCCATAGTATTATGCTCAGATGGACATAGCGATGGCTCAACATCACCCATGGACCCAGTGAACTTCTGAAATCCTCGTGCTTGGGGTGGATGGGGAAGAAATTTGGTGGCAATAAATGTATCATATGGAAGAATGGGCTCCGACGATGCATGTGGCATTTCCTCAACTAGGGTCCCTATGAACATCCCATTGGTGTTGAACTGGATGCCTATTGATCATGCTGTAAGAATATGGGACATGCATACTTACTAACAAAATTACTGCATCTAAGCACGCAATCTTGAACTGCCCGTTTCACATCGTTCATGAAGTTCATGGCAAATTGTTGGGCCATTCCTGTGATACGAAGCTCACACTCCAGGTAGTACTTGACCTCCTTTTCAGTATGCGCTGATTGCTTCGGCACACAGATTGCTAAGCCATGTTCACCTTCCCGACCCTGATATGGGCGCTTAAGTACAGATCAGGGAATAAAGCACAAGTGCACTACTCACATAGATCGCGACTTTTGAGAACCCATCCCCAATGTACCCCAATGCATAAAACAATTGACCAGCCTTTGCCAATTCTAAGCCATCACACCAGTTTCCCGCAACCAGAACCTCCACTGTGTTGGGGACATCCTCGACTTTGGGAAGGCCACTCTCCAAACTCAGAACACGCTTTTTGATTGTCATCGGTATCATTTTCCCTTTGAAAGTTGAGTAGGATTTGACTTCGCTTGGGCAGGATATGACATCAAGTAAGTCAACATTGGGGTCTACCCATGGTGTGCTCTTGTAGAGTGGCTTAGGGGCACGAGAGCACAGACGTTTTGATTCCGAGTTTAGAGGGGATGGTGAGTATCATACGAATAAGAAACTACCAGAATAATACTTGCCATTATCCTCTGCATGGTCACTCTTCCGTTTCCTACTTTTTTTGGGGGATGGAGGCATCTGATGTGTATGGTGAGATTGGGGAAAAGGTTTAATGCCACTTCGAAACTTACGAGGTCAGTCAAGTTATAGCAGATGCGCAAAGTGATCTGCCGCTCCTTGACATCATCTGCACTGATGTGATGCTTAAGTGCGCGGTGATTAAACAACTCAGCAATCGTATTCCCCCTCCACTCCGATATCGGGAGTATCGCATATCTGGGCCGTTTATAATTCACATGCCAGTAGAATGTCAGGATGTGGCTATGAAGGTTAAATATAAGCACCAAAACGATGGAACAGAATGATTCTATCCATGTTCTACTCACCTTTTGACCTCTGGCAATAACAGATATAATTTACTATGACTTTGACAAAATTTGAACAGAAGGTTGGCCCCCACCACGGATACATAAGCCTTATTTTCATAAGTTTCGTTGAGTCGCAAGGGGTTGAGCTACAGAAGTGCACAGATAAGCGAACACAACTCAACTGTGAGTCTTACCTGCACCAACTTATTTTTCTCAGTGCGAAAACCAAGAACATCGACCCTAATTGTTTGGCCTTGGACAGTGGCAATTCTCTGCTGGTATGCTGCACATAAACCTTGGTTTGACTGTTTTTCGGTCATAGCACACTGAAGGGCTCCATTCTGCAATCGACCTTTTGCGAGGCGCTGGTCTGAAACATTTTGGTGGTGGTGCTGGAGCCGCATGCTAAGTCCAGTGAGGATGTCATCGAGAGGTGGTTCAACTGGGGCTTCAGTGGCCAAAGGTGGCGGCAGGGGATGTGACAATGTAGAAGAGCCACTGGCAATGCCAGAAGGTCGCATGTTGAAATCAGCCAATGTTTTGGCAACAAGTGAATCCTTAAACACTCGTTCTGGAGCCCCATGTTTCGCTAGAAAACAAAATGAGAGAACATAAGACTGAATGGAAATATTGGGCATACACAAATGATCAATGCATGGAATGCATACAACAATTTCTCCACGTCGAAAGTAGACACCGCAAATTCAGCACTGTGCAGTTCGTCGAGCCTTCACATCCTGTGAGCCTGTGTCTGCCAGAAATCGAGCTAATGGTAACATACCTCCAATTCCTTGATATTTTCCGTATCCTCCTGGGGCAAGGCATCAAGAGCACTGCATATTGCGCAGTCTTTGTCAGGCGCTTTGAGGGGAAAGTCACGACCACAACCACGGCAAATGTTGTGCGACATGCTAGTGATATCGCAGCTGTAGCTGTAGGATGCACAATTGGGCCTAAGTCTTCTATATATAGCTCAAAAAAAGTGATTCCTGAGTGGCGCGTGGCTGATTGATCGTGGTGTGAAATGTTCATGTGTACTTTAGAGTGGGTTGCCCCCCCCCCCCCCCAGAGGCGCCAGGAAGAAAAGGGCTTTCGGGGAAGAAGAGATCTAGGTAGCATGACCGAGCCCCCAAACTACAGACAAAGCAGCAGAAGAATAGACGCCATGAATGCAACGACGCATCAGGTGACCGTGGAAGCAAAGCGAGCGGACATGGTTTAGTGGCGAGACAACATTGTGAAAATGTATTGGTTCAGTGGCGACGAATCAGCTGGTAACTTGCCTAACGATGATGCGATGGGAATAGACAATGTTGACTTAATGACATGATATAGCAGATAGCAGGCTGATGTGACGGGAATAGATGCCGTCCACACATGAATAGATGCCATGAGTCAGAGCGCATAACGCACACTGCTAAGAGGCTCGTGACACATGAGCCAGTGCAACGGACACATCAAGTGACTATGGAAGCAAAGATGGGTTCAGTGGCAAAACACAATATTGATATATTGGCAAACACCCAGTTTTTGAAAGTTGACCTGAGCCTTCTCAAGCTCCGTACTATGGAATATCTCGGATACTGCCTTTCTCCCTCCGGACTCACCATGTAAGGTAAAAGCCATCCAAGATTGGCCCGAGCCCCATAAAGTCAAGGATGTCCAGTCCTTCCTTGGCTTCGCTAACTTCTATCAGTGTTTCATCCACCAATACTCTGACATTGTGGTCCCCTTGATGTGCCTTACGCATCAAGGAGCCCCCTGGCTATTCTCTGACGACTGTCGCTCTGCTTTCAACACCTTGAAAGAAGCCTTCACTTCTGCTCCCATCCTGACACATTGGCTACCCGACGCCCCCCTCATTGTAGAAACCGATGCCTCCGATTACGCGATCTCCGGAATCCTGTCCATCTGTTGTGATGATGGAGAGATTCGCCCTGTTGCTGTTGTGGGGACAACTCCGTGTACTGCAAAAAGTCGGATTCTACAGAATTTGGTCACCAACATGCACTACATATCCGCTGACGCTCCCGATACTCATTCCATCACTATCCAACACTCCATACACTCACTCCATATTTTTCCATATTTTCCCCATCATTCCCGACAACCCCAAGCAAAATTCCCACGCCCAACCATGCCGCCAATTTCACCCCCTCTCTAGATCTCCATAACCACACATACAAACCAGCCGTTTTTCTACCCGATAGTGATGCTCTACCATCCTTCTTCACCCCCAGATCATTTCCCAGAATGGCAATCCCATACCCACGGAGTATAGTCTCACGTGGTCTTGACAGCACCTGTCAATGGCCACATCTCAAGAAGTACTGCACCAATTGGGATGAATAAGGGCTCGTTGGAAAGCTGGAGACCTGACGGGAGGATAGTCGGGTGCTGCGGCGAAGTGTTGCGGAGTTAACCTTCACAATTCCCATTTCGGACCCATTGTCATACATCAGCAAACCTGGATGCAGAGGCCTGAGAGCTCATAGAGCTCATAGCTCTCAGAGCTCTCAGAGCTTCAGTACTTTGAAATTGCAGGTCCCCTTCTCTGAGAGCTCCAAAAAGTAGTCAAAGCTCTGAGAGCTCATAGAGCTATATTTGCACACAGGGGACTATTATCTATATGAGCTCCCTGAGTGTTTAATTTACCCGATATTAAAATTTAAATTTAAAAGCATTGACTATGGCATCATGTGACTAGCCATAGCCAAGTCCCTACCATACAAGGGACTGAACAAACTCAGCTTCACTTTCAGCACCAATGCGGCACCAGACACCAAGGGTATGTAGCCCAATCAATATATAAGCCAAATATAGGGATATAAATGCAGTTAATCTGAAATTACTTAGGGAAAATGCGGGAAAATGAGTGGGAAAATGAGTGGGGGGGAAATGGGGGGGAAATGGGGGGGAAATGGGGGGGAAATTGAGGGGGGGGAATGGGGGGGAATTGGGGGGGGATGAGGGAGAAAATGAGGGGAAAATTAAAGGGGGAAATGGGGGGAAAATGAGGGGGAAAATGAGGGGAAAATGGAGGGGGGAATGGGGTGACATTTGGAGGGGGAAATGAGGAGGGAATTGGGGGGAATGAGGGAGGAAATGAGGGAGGAAATGGGGGGAAATTGAGGGGGGAAGTGGGGGGGGAAGTGGGGGGAAAATGGAGGGGGAATGGGGTGAAATTTGGAGGGGGGAATGAGGGGGGAATGAGGGGGAAAATGAGGGAGGAAATGGAGGGGGGGGGGGGAATGAGGGGAAATTTGAAGGGGGAAATTTGGAGGGGAGAATGGGGGGGAATGGGGGGAAATTTGGAGGGGGGAATGGGGGAGAAATGGGGGGGAAATTGAGGGGGGAATGAGGGGGAAATTGAGGTGGGAATTGGGGGGGGAATGAGGGGGAATTTGAAGGGGGAAATTGGGAGGGGGAATGAGGGGGAAATCGAAGGGGGGGATGGGGGGAAATTGAGGGGGGGATGAAGGGGAAAATGGGAGGAAAATGAGGGGGAACTGGGGGGTTTCTAAAAACTTGAAAAAAAGTCAGGGAAAATTAAGGAAAATTCAGAAAATGGGGGACTTTCTAAAAAAGGAGAATGTCCAAAAAATCAGGGGAAAAATCAGAAATTTTGGGATAAGTTAGGGAGAGATATTTCAGGAAATTAGGAATAATTGGAAAAAAAAAATTAATTCACTTTTTTGATAATTCAATGTGCATTGGAAAGTGCCAAAGTGGGGCAATGTAGCAATGTATGTTTCAGTGTTAGAAAAGTCTCCCACCATGTTTTGGTGAATGTCAGGGCACAGCCCTCACTATTCCACAATCCCACATGCATGCAGACCCATGGGAAAGTTCTGGGCAAGTTACTCACCCAGAAACCATCACAGCCACAACTGTGGGAACTTTCTGGGTGAGCAGCTCGTTCCCACGGGGGGGGTGCCATTTATGGAAAGTCAACAAAGAGCTGAAAACTGTATAGTTCCTGGCTCCCATTTGTAGAGGAGGTTGAGAAGGTTTAGCCCCCTCAGTGAGTTTGAGGATCTCGGACTGGGACTAGATACCCCAGCGACTAGGAGGATCCCCCTGGGCCCGTCACAGAACAAGGGCTGGGCCCTGACAGTGAGCCAAATAACCATGGCTTTTTGACCATGGGAAATTTGGTGTCAAAGGCTTGGATGATATCTGAAGAATACATCAGCTTTTTGTTTGCTTTATTGGGTGGAATTTTCAATTTACTTCATTTGGAACACTTTGTTTATACTCTACATAACATGCATGGTTACATTGCCACACTTTGGTGCTTTCCAATTCACATAGAATCATCAAAATTGGTTGAGTTTTGAGCAAGAAATGAGATGAAAGATAAAGTGCAAGTTTTTGAATTTCAAATTTTGTAAATAGCAATAAAAAATAAGGTGCTGATTTTAGTAAACACAAAAGGTATATGAGCTCTATGAGCCCACTGAGTTCATAGAGCTCATAGAGCTCATAGAGCTTTCAGAGCAATGACAATGGCCATTTTACACACATATATATCCATATTATCTTTGCACTACTGGTGCCAAAATAACTAAGCAGATTTCATGGAGATATGAAGACCATCCATGATTTAAAAACAAAAAGCTCTATGAGCTCTATGAGCTCACTGAGCTCATAGAGCTCATAGAGTGTTTCAAGTAATGATGCTGGCCATTTAATATGCATTTCCAAAAATGTATATACATATTATCTTTGCACTTCTGCATCCTTAGGAGAATAAAATCATTCAAACATTTAATTTTCTCCACCCAATGTGTAGAGGGTGCACAGCAAAAAGACTCAATTTGCTCACAGAGCTCTGAGAGCTCTGAGAGCTCCAAGAGCTCCCTACCAAGTTTGCTGATGTATATTCCCCATTCATTCATATTTCTTTTATTGTTTCTTTGTTCCCAATTGGATATTCATCATTTACAGTTGCCTAACGGCCCGTTTACATTCCCCCAGTCCATTCATTCCATTTCCAACATATATAAACTAGATAACAGTTGTACATAACAAGTGAGTATTGAATAGACCCGTGAAGGGACAAGCAGAAGTTGCATCCAAGTGGCAAAGATGCCATCCACGACCCTAACGCCCCCTCTGAGCTAGTTGCTCACGTCTAAGACCCCTCACATCATAATACTCAGCCTTGACGTCCAAGAGAGATGTAGGTGAGTGTTTGTTTGAGGTTTTTGCAGACTCAGTAGCACCCACGGACCAAAACCCAGCCCAACGAACCACACCCACGCACACTACCACCCTCCCCCTTCTCTCTGTCTCGAGTCTAGGCGATAGACCCATTACATCGCTTTCCACTCTAGAACACTCTCGGCACTGGAGCTCAATTATGACACCCATGATAAGGAACTGCTCACCATCCACGATGCGTTCCAATCATGGCGTCACTACCTTGAAGGTTCAGGAACTCCAATCAACATTGTCACTGACCACAAGAACCTCGAGTATTTTTCCACCACCAAACTCTTGACCTGGCGGCAAGCCCGCTGGTCAGAGTTCCTCTCCCAGTTCCACATGACTGTCCGATTCCGTCCCAGAAGACTCGGAGTAAAACCAGATGCATTGACTAGATGCTGGGACGTCTATCCCAAAGAAGGGGATATGGACTACGCTCGTGTCAAACCACAGAACTTCCGACCGGTCTTCACTTCGGAGCAGCTCACTGCGCCCTTACGAGCCACGTTCCTAGCTGCCACAGTAATCTGAGCAGCTGTACTCGTTGACACAGAGGCTCTCCATCGAGACATTCTAGCCTCCCTCTCCTCCAATACCACAATCTCTTCTCATCTCGCTTCCCCCAACCTCCCCAACTCCTGCTGGTCCATTGATGCTGAAGGCCTGTTAAGGCTGGACAACTGCATTTACATTCTGGATTCCAATGATCTCCATCTCCGCGTTTTGTGAGACAAACACGACCACCAACTTTCTGGACACTTCGGTCAAAACCGGACTCTGGATCTAGTATGTCGTGAGTATACCTGGCCGGGCATCCGTAACTTCGTCAAGGGCTACGTCTCATCCTGTACTTCTTGTGCCCATGCCAAAGTTCCCCATCATAAGCCTTATGGCTTACTCAAACAACTCCCCATCCCCAAACGTCCTTGGAACTCCATCTCCATGGATTTCATCGAACAGCTACCCTCCTCTTCTGGATTCACTTCCATCTTGGTTGTTGTGGACCGCCTGTCCAAACAGTGCATTTTCATTCCTACCCACGATACCATCACCTCTCCGGAACTGGCCAAGCTCTTCCTCCTCCATGTGTTCTCCAAGTGCGGAGTTCCTTCCCACATCACCTCCGACAGGGGTCCGGAGTTTGTCTCTCATTTTTTCTGTTCCCTTGGTAAGGCCCTCAACATCCGCCTCCACTTCACCTCCGGTTACCATCTGGAAGGAGACAGTCAGACCGAATGGATGAACCAGACGCTCGAGCAGTACCTGCGCATCTACAGTAACTACCAGCAGGTTGGTCCGAACTCCTACCTCTCGCAGAGTTCGCTTACAACAACGCTCCGAATGCCACCACAGGTGTCTCTCCGTTCTTCGCCAACAAAGGCTACCATCTGAACATCACTGTTCACCTGGAGCGAGACCTAACATCAGTACGCACCCAAGAGTACTCCGTAGATCTCGACTCCCTCCACCACTTCCTTCGCAAGGAAATGCACCTCGCTCAGATCCGTTATCAGGGCCCAGCAGACTCCTGTTGGAGTCCTGCCCCAGCTTTTGAGGGAGGAACCTCGGTCTATGTAAAGGCCAAGTATTTCCGCTCCACCCAACCTTCCAAAAAGCTCTCCAAGAAAAACCTCGGCCCATTCGAGATCATTGCCCGCATTGGAACTCACTCCCTCACCCTCCGCCTGCTGGAAAACATGCGAGCCATTCACCTGGTATTCCATGTCTCACAGATCGAACCTTCCATCCTGAACATCATTCCGAACCACCACCAGCCACCTCCGCCTCCCATAGAAATCGAAGGCGAGTTCGAGTTCGAGATCAAAGAGATACTCGACTCCAAGATCGACCAACGTAGATGCAACAAGTTCCTCTACCTGGTCAAGTGGCTAGGCTATGAAGGGACCAACGAGGAGACACAATGGCTCCTTGCTGGTGAACTCGATCACGCCTCCGACCTCATCAAAGCATTCCACTCTCGGTACCCAGACAAGCCTGGACCCGAAGCTCCTTAGGAACCCCGACTCCTCTCTCATCTCTCCCTTCCTCTCACTCCTCACTTCCGTCTTCTTTTTTTTCTTTTCTGTAAGTACAGCTCCTGTCACGACCATGCATCCCGGCCCGTTAGCCACCCATCCCGATGCCGCCCGAGCCCATTCCCGCTATGCGAGCGCGAGCGCGAGTCCTGACCTCAGCCCTATCCTCCATGAGGACTCCCTGCTCACTCCCCTGCTTGCCCCTAGGCTCCCCTGCACCTGGCCGACTCCCCTATAGCCACACCAACCTTCCTGCCCTGAGTCCGCCTCCGGCACCGTGCCTAGTGCGACTCCCCTACCTCGCCCACTTGGCCCCTACAGGGCCGCTACCATCCCCGCGCCCGACTCTGGCCCAACTCCGAGTCCAGCGCTACTATGATACCATCGCCGCTATCGCGGCCCTACACTCCTTCCTTTGTTTACCTGTTATTGTTTGTTTGACCCTCGGTCATTGCCGGCCGCGGAGCGGCCAACCCCGCTTCTTATCTTTGTTTGCTTCCGGACCCTTCGGCCTTCGGCCCGGGTCCGCTCCCATTCATTCTTTCCCCTTATATATATCCTGTATGATACTTTATTGTACTTCAGCTCTAATATCGATATGACCACGACCCTAAGTCCTGACCCCAACAAGGCAGCCCCAGTGAGTCCGAAATGAGGGCCAAGAGACAGCTAGGGGGCACAGCACTCCCTTTAGAGTTGCTGAGGCCAAATGCCCTACCCTCGGGCCTTGTCTGAGGCATCGCGGCCATCGCGGCCATTAGCGGCCCGCATCGGCGACCTTCGGTGCCCACCTCCGGATCAGTATCTAACAGCTCCCCTCACTTCACTAATTCTGGGCCTTCAAGGGTTCAGGCCTAAGAAGGGGATACTGTCATATCCATCCACAGCCATCGACTTCCACTACCTCCAATCCCTCCAGACTACCTCCGCTCCTTCTTCACTAACCTCAGAGCTCCCATATTCCGCAATCACCTCGGTATCCCTTGATGGTCACCACCTCCTCTTTTCAATTTATTACCTACGCCTCCCTAAGTATGGAGCCCCAAAGGCTTCCGGACAGCTCCGACATCCGCTAGTGCACTCCCACCTCCACTGGGCAATACACTCGCTTGCCCTGCAAGCTCACCTTTGGGCCTATCCCTCCTTTCCGTTTCTGGGTTATTCACCTACCATTCCGCTAACCCCATAACCTGACTTGTCGGTAATATTCAATCGGCTAATGTTTAACTCCGTTAGCTCCGCTCTGCTCAGCCCCACCATTTACGGGCCCGCCCTCGTTGTAACTATATATACTCAACTTGTACATAGGTTACACCTCAGTAATAAAATCGACTAGAGTTTACCCCCTTTTAGTTCTGGTTGCCAGTTAGTAAGTTAGGGCATGGACGTGTTACTTGGCACAGCACTCCTGGCATAAGTTGCTGAGGCTGAAGCCCTCTGCCATGGAGACATTCCTTTGTCTCAACCTGGTCTCTGACAAGACGAGGTCTTCTTTCTGGAGTGTGACCTGGAACATAAAGATTCATGTCCTTGATCATCTGTTGGGGCACCTTGGTCAAAGGAGGCAAGAAAGACTCGGAACCACGCAATGGAGAGAACAGATCAACAGTGCAAACTAACTCAAAAGTTGCTCCATCAATGGCGATTGGCTCTCCATATGACTCAACAGAACCAGTCGAGCCAGATTTGCAAGTGGATGACTTGGTGTTCATGGTAGAGGGAGAACTCAAACCGCTTGTCATATTGAATATGTTAGTCACGGAGTCATGTTGTGAACTAGTGACTCCTGATGATGTATGCGATGACATTGGGAGTCGATGGATGGGCCCCTTGTAGATACCGATTCCCAGAGGAGCATGCTCTCCCTGCTGGACATGGAGGAGGCAGAGACAGGACGCATCTTTTTCTCCTCTTCTCCAGGAGATGGAAATTTGATGGTAGGTAATGGACGATTTCCTCCTCGAGCAATGTCTGACATACACCACTGGCATGAATGGTAGCGGAATGCCTCAAACTAATCGTGGCATTTCTTTGGGGCAACGGTGCACCAGCCAGCCATGACTCTCCACTACCAACCACCCGCACAATGCCCACTTCACTTATTTGCTAGCTGGCCTGAGAATCACGACCCCAACCACCTATTCTGGCCATGGAGCAAACTGAGCGCATCACTCGCACAGCAAGAGATCCACCATGGATTTTCTCGGGTTCTTTAAGAAGGAGTTGTGCAGTCCCAGTGGGGGACAAAGCTGAGTCGGGGGAAAGATATGGGGTGGTCGGTGTCAGAGACCAGATTCGAGACAAGGGAGAGTCTCCATGATGGAGGGCTTTGGCCTCAGCGACTTATGCCAAGAGCGCTGTGCCTAGTGACACGTCTGTGCCCTAACTTACTGACTGGCAATCTGAACCGAAGGGGGGTAACTCTAGTTGATTTTATTACTGGAGTGTAACCTATGTACAAGTTGGATATATATATGGTTACAGCGAAGACGGGTCCGCAATTGGCAGAGCCGAACGGAGCGGAGCTAATGGGGTTAATCATTAGCTGACTGAATATTACTGACGAGTCGGGTCGCGGGGTTAGCGGAAAGGCAGGTGATAACCCAGAAACGGAAAGGAGGGATAGGCCCGAAGGTGGGCTCTGCAGGGCAGGCGAGTGTATTGCCCAGCGGAGGTGGGAGTGTGCTAGCGGACGTCGAAGCTGTCCGGAAGTCTTCAGGGCTCCGTACTTAGGGAGGTGTAGGTAATAAATTGAAATGAGGGGGTGGTGGCCATCGAGGGGTACTGAGAGGATTGTGGAATACGGGAGCTCCGAGGTTAGTGAAGAAGGAGCGGAGTTAGGCCGGAGGGATTGGAGGGACCGGAAGTCGATGGCCAGGGATGGATATGACAGTATCCCCTTCTTAGGCCTGAACCCTTGAAGGCCCAGAATTATAGGGGAAAACAGTGTCAGGGTTCCGTCACTGCAAGGGTTCCGCCATGTTAATTTAGGCAGGATCACCAGAATTTATGCGAACAGTATGGCGGAGAAGTGGGTTGTCAGTACAATAATTATAGAACCTAGACACAATAAATTATACAAGACTGATAATATCACAACCCTTGGTCCACCAGATTGATCGCGAACATTCTGGTGGATTGAAGGAATATTGAGACATAGGTCACCTACCCATGTAATGTCATGGTTGCCACCAGAATGTTCGCGAACGTTCTGGTGGACCAAGGATAAAGTGTTGTGATATCAGCATTTGGGGAAATAATTATGCCAACCAGGTGAATGAGTCAGAATGGTAGGACTTGAGTAATGATGAGTAACAGTGAGGTGATTGATCTGATCGATTGATCGATCAGACGCTACAGCTCACCACCCACCACCATCATCACCCATCCACCATGGCTGGAAGCACAGCGCTCCCCAATGTGAATATCCAAGGCCTTTCACGCCACATGGTGATCTCAGAGGACCTGAGACGTTTGACATATGACAAGGCAATAGCAGTGTCCCATGCGCTGCGTGAGAAAGCCTTCATTGGCATTTGTGAGCTGAAGGCTCACACCCACAGTTCTCTCCCTCTCACCTACGGTGTGAGGAATGCACGGGCCATCGATCAAGCCGGGTTGGATGGCATCAAAGATAGCATCATTGAGGACAGTGGTCCATCAAGACTACGACCAGATATGCCAGTTGTGCTGTTGATCCGGCAACCCTGGGTGACCAGTACTGACTGGCCAAAAATAATCACGCCAGATAACCATAAGTCATTGGCAGTTCTTGAACTGAGTGAGGTGGGTTGGCTAGCAGCAAGGGCTGGCCAATTGCAAGTTCTAAATGGACAACATCGGTATGATACATTATTTATCGGCTTTCTTTCGCTATAAATAATTTGATAATAATCATTATTCATCAGAATTGGGGCATTACAGGCTGCATATGCAGCGGTAGCCGGTGAGGTAAAGAAGTATGGGGAAGCAGTGGAAGGGAAGGTGGTTGATAATATGGCGACGTCGGAGGAGAGGGAAATATATCGGAAGGATGAGGAGAGGTTGAAGGAATGGAAGTTAAAGCTCCTAGAGCTTGTGACATGGCCTGCTGCGGTGTATGATTTGGGCAAGTGGAGGAAAACACAAATTCGTATCCAAACTGACAAAAGCTTTTTAGATGTTTTGGAACAAGATGAAAGTATGGGGAGCTTCGTCATTGAGCTTCTCGCACGAAACAAGGATGTCATCGAAGTCATGGCATCAGAGGAAGAAAAGTTGGTGCCCGTTTATCAGCACCTTCTCAATGTCCAGGTGAGGACAGGGTGGAGGCCAACTCTGTGGCGGTCAGCTGCTGCGGCCAAGGAGGGGCCTGACGGGATTGACCTCGATATCCGCAAGGTGCTGTGGCCAAAGCTCGGCACACACAGGAAGCTCCAGCGGATTGCAGCTGACGAAAGGTCCAATCGGGGACTGATGGAACTTGTCCGTGTCGGCAAGTACTACCGTGACTGGAAGGGCTTCACAATAAACCACATCTCGACAAAACTTCTTGGTCATACATGTGCGGTATGTTGCTTGCTATGTGAAATAATTATGTATGACATCATTGATTTCATCATTTCAACAGTATCTGTGGACATATGTCCAAGCACAAAATGAACGTCTGGGGCTTCTCATGACGGAGTCTGACGTGGATGATAACTTCGATTATGAGCGATTCGAGGCACTCCTGAAGGAACTGGATGGGAAGTTGACGCAAAAATCACGCAAGGCGAAAACCGAAGAGCTTGATGAACTGGCACTGCATTTTGTCAAGACGTTCATTGATAAAGTTGAGAGGATGCCCCCACTTGATGCATACTTCAATGTGGAGTTCTGGAAAGGTGTGGAGGATGCCGAGGTGGTGGCTGGGGTGGCGACGATTGTCAAGAAAGGGTCGAAGAAGACACAGCGGACTTATGGAGATGACGTTTTCCAGTTCTCACATCGGGATCACTCATCACGATATATCGACTACCGAACAGCACTATGGAGTGCAGTCGAAAAGGTCCTTGAGCAAAACCGAAACATTCTCCCTGAGTCAGTGCTCCAAAAATGTCGCCATCGCTTCAACGTCCTCTTCTCTGGCGTCATTCATAGGTGGCATATGATTCTGATCACAAATGGTCTCCTATCAAAGTTTGATGACATTTCAACAGAATATGAACAGTTTTTCAAGGAGGTATGTCACAATCATATTTCGTTTGTCTAGCCCTATCCACCATAATGTGTGTAAACATGATGGCAGGTATGGGCATATTTCAGTCATCCACCAAAATGTTCGCGAACATCCTGGTGGAGCTGGCCATACGTCTGTCATCCACCAAAATGTTCGTGAACATTATGGTGGAGCTGGCCATATGTCTGTCATCCACCAAAATGTTCGCGAACATCTGGGTGGACTATCAACAAATTATTATGACATGAGAATTATCAACTGATCTGTTGGCCATAGATCCATGCTTGGATTGACCCTGTCAATGCCTACATGATGGATATCACCCAACTTAACTACTTTGATGCATCCTATGCACTATTTGATGCAATTCTTCAAGATCCTTTGCTTGCTGTGGAGCCAGGGACTGAAGTGGAGGTATGTAGCCAGGATATACTTGTTGGATGGATGCCAAGCTCACCTGATGAACAGTTCACACATGTCGTGTTTAGTGAATTATTGCCATGCTTTAAACACTGGAAAATTGAATGGGATCATTGTGGATTCAAGCCCATCCCCTCACGCACCAATTCTTCTTCGCCACTACCTGGTGGGTTCTTTGAGCGTGGATCAACATATGATGTACGTGCCAAGACCAAGGCACGCGTCAGGGAGGCCAAGGAAAAGGTCCCTGATGATGACCCCTCTCTGGACCCTCCAGAGCCTGGGAATCATAAGAATGGCTTTTTGGGTGATGCACCATTCAATATCTCATGGTCTGATGAGTGCCTTGAATACCGCACATCCATCACCACTTTCCTGCGCTGGTATGACAACAACTTCACTCATGTCGATCTCGTCAAATTCCGCAAGGGCAAGGATGCTGTTGATCGTGCAATGGCATTATACCCACGGATTTCTCCTACCCAGGTTGATGCAGGACCAAATCACCTGCACCGTAACTCTGCAAAATGGTGCCTATCATGGGTGAGCTATGGGCTACATAATGAACTCTGCCGTCGCCCCCTCTTGAAGAGCGACACCATCACTTCTGCATTGCACTTGAAGGTCAGAGATGCATTGTCAATTTATGCACCAAGCCCACCCGATTTCCAACTCGTCATCCCAACCCGTGTTCGAAAGTCATTGACATACTTCAATCAACCTGAAGCCTTTGTCCGTGCCATTGAGGGAAAATTGGATTCAAGTGATGAGGATCCTGAGGGAGGATCTGCAGCACAGGCTTATCATGCCACACGTGTTCAACACCGCCAACAACTTGATGGGCTAAGGAAAGCCTTCGAAGGAGTAACATTTATTCACAAGGGAGGGAAAGTAGATGGCCCAATTGATTCCAGTATCATAACAGCATGGAATGCATTTGAGCAGGTAAGGAATGTATATTGAATTTTCTGAATGATAATTGATTTGTTCACTTAGCACCTTCACCGATTCTCAGTCATAGCCTCTGTGGCAAAGGCCAAAGCAGCGCAAGATGCTGAAGGCTCTGCTGGAGAACTCCAATTATTTGAGGAGGATATTCGCCTGTTGGGAGGAATGCCACCTTCAAAATTCACATTCAAGAGTAGTTCGATTATGGCTGGGGTAAAATTATTGTCACTAGACTAGTAATGACTCTCCAGAGATCTAACATAAACCCTAGAAACGCCAATCAACATCCCCAGTGCTGCCAAAATGGCTCCGAGATGCACGGGATATCACCATTTCTGAGGCAAGTGATAACTACAAACATGCCAACATATCCATCAGACTCACCACTAAACAGACACATCAGAAGGCCCTGGATAAATTAGAGGATCAACAGGAGGAGAAGGATTATGATCCTGAACAAGGGGACCCTGACCGAGATGACACTCCATCCAAGTCTTCAGACAGCAGCAGTGAAAGCAGTGATGCCAAGTCAACTGACAACGAGGAGCCTATGCCATCCAAAAAAGTAGGTCAATAATATGCCACAGTTTATGTGATACTTAGACACTTCAATACAGCCCACTAGGGTGGAAAAAGGTAAGGGGAAGGCTGTGCCTGATCCTGGCCAAAGGGATGTTGAAGACCCCACACCAGAGGATGATCCAACCGGATCGGAGCTTAGTGATAGGGGTGAGCCTGAGCAAGGCGTAAAACGCCCCCGGACATCTATTGAATCCACAGTAACGCCTGCTGCAAAGAAGCAACGGCCCCAGGATCCAATCAAGGAACCAAGACGTACCCGTGCAACAGCCAAAAAGGGTGTAAGTGAGGCTGCTCCCCAGCGACCTGGTGACCTTGTCTCAAACAGAGGTGGCATGCGTGGACTTGGCCAAAAATGATGTTCCGGGGCCCCATCCGTGTTCCGTTTCTTTTTCCTGTCTTCAGAAAAATGTGTCTAACATTTCTGAAACACAAATAACAATTTGGTCATTGTACATTGTCACATAATCATAATAATTTGTGTTCTCCAGCCAGAGTGCTCCCACTCCACCTGAATGTTCGCGAACATACTGGTGGAGATAGCCATTTTGGAGACTGACTGCCTTGCTTTTCAGATGAAAGTATCATTGCCTTCAGCAAGGGAGTGGCAGTCCACCATGATGTTCGCAAACATTGTGGCGGAGTTGGACATTTTTGCATAGTAACCATATGATTTCCTTGCTGTTTTTCTGGGATCAGAAATACTTCCCATAACAGGCAATATTTCAAATTGGTGAAATTGGAAATATGCCATCATGTTGCCAAATTGGCCATATTTTGCTCATCTTCCCACTTCAACACCTGAAGGACATCTCATCCGCCGTGAAGATGGCAGCGATCTCAACCGATTCCTCCGATCTCATTGAGCTTCCCTCTGAGGAGGACACCATTCCCCCTTATGACATTCATAATCCTCTTGCAGAAGAGGGATATGGTGCTGTGAGACAAGATATCATCGCTGGCGCCCGCCTTGGCACAACTGAGGCTTCTAATCAACCTGAAATGCAAAAGTTTTATGATACACCATCTCGAACACTGCCCATGAAGACATTGCGCCACTTGTACATCAACAAGAATGGTGCAAGTGCCTTCAGCCTCTTGCAGCGCAAACATCGACTACACTTGGATCCCCAGTTCCATGAACCGGGAACCTCACGACAATATACCTTCCGTCTCAATGGACACTCCATTGACTTTTCCCTTAAAGTGCCCGATCGCTGTGGATTTGATGCGATCCTTCCTCCGAGCCCAATTGGGGTCCTCCCCACCTGGAGTTTTGACCTTGACCTGTGTGGTTCATTGCGGGACTTTCTGAATCGCAAGGGGGATCTTGGCTTTGATCCAAGGGGTCGCATGCTGTACATCGGAAAATTCGGTCATGACAGTGTATTTCTGGCCATGGCACCAAATTCGTTCCTTGATGGATCACTTGACCCTGTACCATGTGGCCATGTTACTGGACCTACTCAAATGAATACCAGCCATATCCGCATGGCAACGAGCATCATTCTGTGGTCAATGACCTATATTTCTGACCGGGACTACAGCACCCTAACTCGTTATGCTCCTATTGGCGGAAATATTAATAAATACCAGGATGTCGCACCTTGGGTGTATGTGTTCTCCCCCAAATGATTGGATGGAGTAGTATGGCTTATTGGCACTCTTATTATTATTAGTCAGGAGCATAATGGGAAGCTTACCTTGCGGCGACGAGATGTTGAAAACATGCATCATGCCCTTGCACACTACTACACATCAGAATTTGTTGCCAATGCACCACCAACGTGGACAGATGATACTTGGTTCACAAACTCAACTCCCCTTGTCGTAACAATCAAGTATGGTCAGGATTTGCCACTGGATATGGTCAATTTGGAGGAGACATCAACGACATGGAACCACAATTTCAGTTTCCAACACATTTCCCGATGGAGCATTGCACTTGCCACCCATATTGTGTTTGTATTGTGTTTGGTTCTGTGCTAGAATTATTCTCTGATTCCCACCATTATAGTGTACCTTCCATTGTTGACACCGAAGTTCTTGATCCACAAGCTATTCTTGAAGAGTTTGGGACAGTCTTTGATGAGCATGGGCAGGTGATTGAAGATTTGGAGCATTTCGACCTGGAAGACGAGGATGGTGAACCAATTCCCATCTTTGACTCCCAAGGGGCACAGATCGATCGTAAGGAAGAGCTCTTCCGTGAAAAGGCAACCCCAGGGGGATTGCTTTTTCGACTAAATTCTGCCTCCCATATGTTTGATCGTGTCTATGGAAATCCCCGCCAATCAGACCCTTATCGGTCTGAGAGTGTCAAGACTCATACTTATCCTCAAGCCTTCCTGACCGATTATGGCCATGTTCAAGCCAATTTAGTCTTCCCTGAATTTCACAAGGCAGCACAGCTCATCAATCAAGCCCTCTTGGCTCCAAATGTGGAGGATGACAATAATAACCCCCCCAACTCCGATGCCGAGCCTCGCCACTCTACACGTCATGGGGCCCCTCCCCAGTGGATGGAAAACTCGGATGACTCGGATGACTCTGATGATCTACACTCTGAACATGAAGTTCTTGCTCAACTCTCAGGCCATACAATTGAGCCAGTCAAGGGGATTTTTTTCCAAGGCTATAATCTACTTCAGCATCGTATTGCTCGCCGCTCCGGAGGTGCTGAGACAATGCATGGTACAGTGAGCATTGCACTTGCTGGACAGTTTGCCCAAGGCCGAGCAGAGGAACAGAGGGCAGCACAAGCAGAGGCCTATGTCTCCCGACAAATGCCTTATGAACGGATGCGCCAGAAATTGTTGACAAACAGTCACCAAGCTGACCAACGCCCACCAACAGACCTCCGACTTGAAAACAATTGGGTCCTCAACTTTACTGCAATCCCTGCAGATCGACGGACAGGAAGGTAATGCCATCTTCTATATTATATTATATTATTTAGTGACTCAATATTATAATGTACAATGATAGGCATGTCATGGAACAGATCATCAAACCCTTGTTGGCTACATGGTCCAATCCTGGGGTTGTCAGGAAGCTGAAGCAGCATACAATTATTCTGGCACCTGGCGTGAGCAAGACAAAGACTGATGCAACTAATCATATAATTGATCTCTGCTGTTCAGGTGTTGCCTCGTCTCTATCTATGGGCAACTTATCCAGTTTTCTGGGGGATAGAACAAATCTACCACATGGAACAACGCCGAAAATCTGAAAATCATCGGCCTGATCAAATTTCCAGGGAACTTCTTGCTGCCCTTGAACGTGCTGGCAGTTTTGGTTTCTGTGGGGCTGGCAAGGTTCTGAGCACTTTTGTGATGGACCCCCTTCTTCTATCACTTGGAATCAAGGAAACAGGCTTTCCTTCTCTCAGCAAGATTGTGCATTTGAGTCCTGATGCAAGGGACACAATTACTGTGGAGGCAGACAAATGGCCTCGTGATGCTGATGGTGTTCCACGCTTTGCATCCAAGAGAGTGGTTGTATACAACTACTCACTTTCAACTTTTGATGTAAGTAGTCTTTTGTTTTTTGGATGCTAGGGTCTTTGCACAAATGGTTGTCAGTGCTGAGATGGACCATGTCCACCAAAATGTTCACGAACATTCTGGTGGACAGGCCCATAGCATATTATTATCATGTTTATGAAATTGGGGCATGTCCACCAGAATGTTCACGAACATTCTGGTTGATGCCATAATGATGAAAGATTCTCAGATGCTCCAAGTCTTCCCATGTGTTCTGCCCACTGACTGCTTACTACTTTCAGTCTATTGTAGCCGAGTGCTTTGTTCGTCAAATTCGTGATGGCATCTACACATTTTCCGACTTGGCTTCCACCCCCATGTCCAAACATGACAAAATCATCCATGGACTGGCCGCATATGGTGTTGATGCTTTGCTGAAGGATGCCTTATATGAAGTGGAGAAGGGGGTTAAGCGTTACATTGATGGAGCAAAGTCACTTGCTGATGCTGAGGATCTTCGACGCTTTGCACGACAGCTAGAGGAATTAAAGCAACTGGTACACGTTGATCGTCCCTTTGATAACTCACAATCTGCCACCCAACGGTTGCTCCTTGTTCTCTGCACTTCACCCCATGCCATGAAGGGCATGTTCTCGGATTGTGCAGTTGATGTTCTCTCATGGGTCAAAGTACTGTATCGGATGGTTTCACCTCCACGACCTCCAAAGCCAGGCCCTGCCTCAACCCAGAAGATCACCATACCACAGATTGGGGCACCATTCTTCCCAGATGGCTGTGCCCGGCATGTGCTTCGCAGGGTTTTTGAAGCATTGCGGCAACTTGGTCAGCATGATGACTGGGGTGCCCAACAAGATTTTTGCTGCAACGTCATTGTCAAACAAATGGAAGTCTCCCACCTCTGCCGCTATCCTGCAGCTTTTCTGAATCCTGTCACTAAACGGCAGACAAAGTATGCTGTTTGGCACATCTGGACAGATTTCATCTTCCCTGATGGAGGTCCTCAACCCCATGCTGCTGAGGAGTCCAATGACCCAGATTATCAAGCAGCTCGACTTGCAAGCATCAAGCTGACAAGTGCAAACCCTCAATCATCTTGGACATGGATGGATACAAAGCTGTCTGACCTCACTTGGGTCTTTGAACGTTCTCGACTCCCCACTGATTGGATCACAAAGGACAACCTTAAGGATTCATTCACTGCTGAACTCACAAGTTGGCTGAAGAGTGCTTACAGTGCTTCGAATCCACGTTTCAAGCTTGCATTACTGGCATCACTCATCATTACTGCTTGGGCACCAAACCACCGTGTCAAGGAGATAAGTGAGAAGATTCCCAAGAAAATCTCCCTTGGTGCAAATATGCGAGAATATGGCAACAATCTATGTTGGGATTTGGAGCATGGGCAGAGTGCAGCTGGTTGGAAAGCCCGCCCCCCTTTATTCCACCTCTGGTTACTCTTCATTTCAGGTGTCCTTAACACATCAAGTCCATGGTGGGGACGAAGAACTCTGAAAGAGCATTGCAAGGGCATCAAGAAAGCAGATCGAACTGCTGAGCAAGCTCTCAATGACACCATGTTTTCCAATTTCCGTGACAAGCACAGTATGTCTGTAGCTTATTTCATCTGACCACCAATGCTGACTGATATGCTGTGCAGGGAGCAAAGGAATAGTGATCGCTGTGTTGGCACGCATGAATCTTGTGAAGGCTCTGACACCCAAGGCATTCACAGCAAAAGCACACTTCCCAAATGACTGGGAACTCTACTCAGATACTGAGTATGAGAACAGGTTGCTGAAGGTCCAGGAGCTGTTGAAAGCTGGGGCCGAACGATTTCCTATCTTCCTTGTTGTTCGCCACTTCCTTGGTCATGAAGCACAGCTCCTTGCTGCACAGCATGATTTTCCAGTCCCAGACATGTGGGTTAAGCCAGCTTCACTTTCACACAGAAAGTCAACACACTCAATGCGGGCAGATTCAGAAGTGGAATCTGAGGAGGAGGGGCTTGTCAGAGTAAAAGCCCGCCCCTGCAAGCGTCATCGTGCTAAGCAGTGACTGGTAAAAGACAGAGTGTGCACATCTGTCCAACTCTATAGAAGGAGGGGCGGACTCTATTTTCGACCATGGAAATAGCCTATTGCCACCGGTCTGCCAGTCTGCAACCGGTCTGCTTGGGTCTGCTCCCCTTTTTATTGGTTTTTTATGATTATTTTTTTTATTTTATCACATGTGCTACTTCCCTTTTTGGACCCCAACCTTCCCCTCTCCTTCAAGAGGGGAGAAGAGGTCACGAGCCCTCTCTCTATCTGCACATGTGCACCTTCAGGTGGCACATGACCCCATAGGAGATTTTTGCGAGAAGGAGATCACGGGAGCCCGGGAGAAACCAGCAACAAGACAAAGAAACAACGGGAAATTAGATGAACACCTGAGGATTGGAACACAAGCCCTCTCAGGCGTTTCGGAATCCTCCGCGTAACATACCAAGTGCCCCATCGAGCCTTCAGGTTGATATATCTTCTCTCAAGCACTCCTTGATGAACAATTTACTCTATCAATGTTGCACATGACATGACACACGGTAGGTCACGCTCAACTATTACAACAGTCACCGTCGGCAACTTGAACGACGACCCCCAGCGTATTCCCGTTCACAAACCCCTTCTCAACTCAGAATATCTACGAAGCCGACACCTCAGATGACTTCTACCAACCCCAATTTTCCCACTTTTGTCAACAATCGCGTTGAGGTTGGGCAAGGCAGCAAAACAGACTGACTCAACGCTGTCTCTTGCCGTTGAAAACGTCGGTCTCGATTCGTCGCCATTTGTATCGCCCACTGAATCGTCCATATCAGTCTCGCCCGCTGAAGTTTCCGTATCAGATCCTGTTGGGGAATCCCTTTGATGAGAGTTCGACTCCGTACGAACTTAATTTTTCCGCTTCTGGTTCACTTTCTGCCCTATCTGCGCTCAACCGCATTTCCAGACTCTCATTTGATTTTCTGGCGATCACATTGATGGTGTCTATGATCTTTTGTGCACGCCCTTAGCCTCCATTTCAACACCTCACGTTGGTCCAATGCGCATTTGCCTCGGATCTCTATCTGAATCCATGGGCAATTTTGGCCGTAGGCGTCTTTGGTGGGCTGCTTCGTGACGGCCTTCTGTGTCATTTTTGGCCGATTTGGCCGGTCCTTTGTGCCATCGGCCTGGATCTTACGTTAGCTTCATCCTAAGCTGGCGGACGATCTGCTGCCGTTCGAGCGATTTTGTCGACGGGGGGATGAATTATGTGGTGGCGGTTGCTTTGCCCCAAGCCCTTTGCTTCAGTTTGGAAGGTCAGATGGGCGAGTTTTGGCTGGTCACTGATTTTTGGTGCGTTGGTCATAATTTTCCCCCTTTCCATGCCTTTCTCCCCCCTTTAACTCGCCGTTCTGACGTTCTGCGACGCCCTTAGAACCTATCCCCACATCTGATCCCCCCATTCCTCAATTCGCATCATTCATATCCGCCCAAGCCCGCGTGTCCGCAGTTGCCGGTTCATCGATCTCGACATTACACGCTTCAACAAACAAGAGTTCAACAACAACGACAATGTCTTTAGCGTCTGCCCACCTGCTTGCTACGGTCATTGCATCTGACCGTGCGCCCCACTCGCCCTTCCTAGCGTTAGAAACGCTACCGGTCCTGAGGCATGATTGCCCAGTCGCTTCATCCCCTCGACGACGTAAGTATCGGCTCCCCCATATCTTTGTCTCGATCTCGCCACCAACTCGCCATCTCAACTTCTTTGGCTCAAGCGCTTCAGACTCTCCACGCTCGAGTCTTCCATTCTACCATCGAATGTTTCTCTCGACTCCTGATCAGCGACTGTACAACGTCTGTGGTGGCGGGCCACTGTGTGCTGCACATTCTGGATTTGTGGGCAATTTCACCGATTTTCGCGGAATCGATGACCCGTGGGGGTTGGTGATGACAGGCTGCGTCGTGCTCGGCTTTTGCGTCGATTCCGCTGGGGTTTTGAGGGTTGGATTGCTGATTTATGGCCGATTGGCTGATTTTCCGATGTTCTTTCATTGGGTGTCACTCACTTTTAAACGCTCCTTGAGCTCGCACCCCTGAGCCTTTCTGCCTGAGCCTCCTATACCGCCCATACCGCCATCTCCATCTCGGCATGGGCCCCTCGCTCGATCGTCGCTGCCGCTGTCTCCATGTTCAAGTGCTTCCATCATTCGATTTGTCTTTTAACTCAGTAGATCTTCATACCCGGAATAACGTCGCTCACTTCGGGAGAACCACTGGTCGATTAGAAGGATTTGGACTTATCAGTAAGTATGCCCATCCCCACTTCTGACCTCTTGTTTCAATGGCTCGCGACTAACGTTGCTTACTTGCTTGGATCGTCACGCTCAGTTGACTCTGCCCGAAATTTCGATCCTGCACGCAAAAATCGAAGCAGGAAATGTCTCATCCTTTCCGTCTGCTTCCTCCGTCGTCATTTTCGGGGCGTTGCTTCGGACCATCTATGGGTGATCCAACATCCTAGCCTTGGCACCATTATCAACTCTTAACTTAGCATCTGTCTGACACGGGTTTGGGGGAGGTCGACTCTGAGCACATCGCATTGCTACCAGACTTGTCATTTACATGAATCCTAAAGGAGAGCTGACTGTTTGTACATGCGTAATCAATCACTCTCAAATGATGTTGGCAGGATAAGATGATCTGGACGAGGGTTTGCGTCAAAACTAACGAAACCCATACCGATGGGATCGTGAAACAAACATTTGGATGCTCGTCAGTACTGCAGCGACATCGTGGGTAGGTGACCAGCCAAAGCTCTCCGTTCGCATAAACGTTCGGATGGAGCATATTTGGCAACGGTGGCGGGTTTGTTGGGATAGGACTCATCGAACATCAGAAGCAGCTTGAATGTTCCATCGTGGCCTAAGTTCGAATAGGTTCATTGTGCAGCACCCCAATAGTACTTAGCGGCCGCTGTAGCCTGTTAGAGTGAAGAAGGTCAACACCTCGGACCGCTCACGATTTGACCTATCGATTTGCTCTGTATGTAATTGTCACGGAGTTGGCCGAGTTTATTGTGTCTGGTTCACTGTCATGGAAGTCTGGTGCCTTGTGGTCAATCACAATAACAGGCCTACTGGCCGGCCATTCAAGGTCGAAGTATCTTCCGGCGCCGATGTTGATGACTTGGTGGAGAAGGTCAAGGCCAAGGGGTCGCCTCGCCTTGACGACACTGCTGCGTTCGAGCTCGAAGTGTGGAGATTTGCAAACTCACCAGCTGATTTCGTCGTTAATGATCATGAAGTGCTTGAGGAGCTAGTCAGCGAGGCATTCTCTAATATGAGGGTTAAAGAACTCCTTCCGAGTCGGAAAATAGCAGGCTTGAACATCTTAGCTGGAGAGGCACTGCTCGTCAAGTTGCCCGGTGCGTCAACACTCATCCCGATAAGTAGACACCTACCTGACTTTGTGACAGGCCGAAAGCCACAGACAGAGGACGACAGTGAGCATTCAACACGTTCGTTCCCCCCTCAAGCTTGTCTTTAGTGCCACAATTAGATTACCGTGTCCTCGAACTTCAATGTCTCATTCGTGACGATGACGCCAACCGCATCTTTCCGGTGGAAATTTCGGATACAAAGACTGTTGGTGCCCTCAAGAAAGCCATCAAGGAGGAGAAGAAGGTCGCTCTCCAACACATTGACACAGACACCCTCACACTCTGGAAGGTTTCCATTCCAGTCGATCACAGTTTCGGCGAGGCTATGAAGACCGTCGAACTTGAAGATGCCGGATCGCTATCACCTGTGGATATATTATCCGAGATTTTCCTCCATCCGCCTCAGCGTAGACATCTCCACATTGTCGTCCAGGTTCCACGTATTAGTGAGTGCATGATTTGTGTTACTCCTTATCTGTTTGAATGGTATTGGTCGTGTGACCGCCCCATTTTGTACCGCCAGATAGTAAGTTATGGTTTCGCTGGCTCAGCTCAGTTATTGGTATTCCCTCTGGATCGATTTTGGTGAACCTGACGATGGCCCTTTCCCCAAGGCAAGAGTGTTCCACCTTCATCATATAAAGGCAACCGTGTCGCCAAGGGCCGGGCGGAATGGGCTTCAAAGTTTGCGCAAAAGGCGCCTTCAGAAAAAGGGAAGCTGAAATTTTTCGCTGCTGACCAGAGAAGAAACCCTCCTGCATTCTGTTTCAATCGCCCACCATCGACCGCCGCGACAATACCTATCACATTGTACAATCCCATATTTGGCAAGTTCCAAGACGACTGCAAAAGTTACATACCGACGAAGGCAGACCATGACTTTGCCTTAAAGCTGTCAAGTTCTATGTCAGAGTTTTACGACGCCGAGAAAGGGAGGGCGGAGAAGGCTCGAGAAGATTTTGGAGAGTACCAGCTCCCCTTTTTGGCGGGCCAAATCGACCGGTATACGACTGACGGAGATCTTCGGTGCAACAACTTTTGCTTCGGGCTCATGGAAGTCAAGTCAGAGATTAGCCTAGGCGGCGCTGAGCCTCTCTTTGAAGCGGCCTGGTACTACGCTGCCTTTACGAGGGGACAGATTTCCGCTAATCTGGGCTCCAATCTCCCTTGTTTTATCCTCTACATCGCTGGTGAACTTGCATGTGTGTTCTCGAGACGTGCATCATGACCTAAAGTTCATGTCGCAGGTGCCCATATTGGTTTTGCAGGCGCCCTGTGGACCACACGCCCTCATCTACAGGTTTTAGCACCTACTTTGCCGCTCTTCTATCACACATCCGACGTCGATATGCGGATGCAAACCGCGCGTTTTTTGGGTGCAGCGAAGAAGGCGATTCTCGTGTTGAAGAACTACTACGAATCCCAACTTGCATGTACTACTGCCCCGTCCCCCGCCCAGCCACCCAACGTGGAATTCCCGCACCCTACCCACTTCCTTTCTCTGGACAACGTTACAAACCACTCATTCGAATACTTATCTCCCCTTAACGAGGAGAAACTCGTATTCTATGGCACTGCCGGTGATGACAAAATATGCATCAAGTTCGTCCGTCGATACTCGAAGGATGCGCATCACACATGCTCATTATTAGGATTCGCGCCTGCCTTGAGGGGCTTTCAGTCCATTCCCGGTGGATGGTCTATGGTTGTCATGGATTTCATCGATAATACTTATCATGAATTGGAGGATTCATATGCGAAAGCCTCATTTGAAACCGAAATCCGGACGAAGGTGACCAGTCTCCACCAAGCAGGATATGTGCACGGCGACATTCGAACTACCAACATCATGGTCCGGAAAGACGGTAAGCCTGGGATCCTCCTAGTCGACTTTGACTGGGCAGGTAAAATTGAAGAAGTGCGATATCCAATGAACATGAATAATGTTGATATCAAGCGACCCGAAGGAGCATCTGATGACCAGCTTATTAAGGCTGAGCATGATATCGCTATGATTGGTTACATGTTTGAGTAGCAGTCAATAGTACATTCCGATGGGGATGATGCCCTTTTTGCAGTGGCTCGTGAAATCCATACCCCCAGCGCTGCCCCCGAAGGGGGCTTGGGCCTGGATGTAAATTGCATTTCAACCAACGCGCACCTGGATGATCTTTAGAGGAGCACTGGAGGATAAGTCTCCTAGTGCCCAGGTAAGGTGGAATCTTCATCTAGTGTAGCTGCCACCACGCCGGTTCGCCTCCTACCTTTTGGGCAGGATTACATCATCTTTCGGGATTGTGGAAACGCGTTACGTGAGGGAACTTGCCCACTGGAGAACTCGTTTTTGGAAGCGCGGGTCAAGGTCACAGGGTAAGCCGGCATGTATGGAAGTGGCGAATCGGACCCTCAAGGTCAGTGGAGCGGGCAGACATGCAGGAGACACCGGCGGCAGCTAACATCGAGGGCCACTAAAACCATCCAATTGTGTGTTGCTACTGTACGAGGGAAAGTAAAATATATATATAGGCATGGACTGATGCCTCTGGGTGATTGCTATGGGAGGAAAGACATGGAACTTGTATGTAAGTTGTACTGTAATCGCTTGAAATGCATGTCCTATTGAAGGATAATTGAAAGACGATTTATTTGCTTCTTTGTTTTAAGTTGTGGTAGTGGTATTTCATTTTTAACTCCGCGTGCGTGCCGTAGGCATCCAGTGGAATACAACACTAGTACCAATTGGAACAGAGTACACTTCCGCTCCTTCCTGTGGCAAGACATCTAGGGTGGCACAGATTGGATAAAGGGATCAGTGGACATAACCCTGCCACTGACTTATTGTGTATGAATTTCCAGGGGTTCGGCGGAGAAGCGGAGGAACAAAATTCCGAATTTTGACATGAAATTCCCGGTGACTCTCAAACAACACAAATACCACATGCCCCCCGCTCTGGTTAGGGTCCTCAACGACCACTTTTCATGTGCAGAACCGCTGTCACAATGGGCAAGGGAGAACCCTGGGAAAAGCTGCACGGTTCTCTGTCTGACTTGCCTATAAAAAGGGGATTCCCTTGTCCTGGATGCAGCAGACTGCCCCCTTGACTCCCCCTCATGATTCAGAGGATTAGCACTGTAGCAGCCCTCCAGCCATGTCAATCTGACATGGCTACGGCGAGAGCTTGCTTCGAGTGTTAAACCGCTCCGCATCAGAGGTGGGAGGGGATTGGATGCTTTTGGACACTATAAATCGACGTTGTCAGCCGGGTCATGCCCACAGCCGGCAGCTTCACTTTAGACCCTCCTGGCGGATTGGAGGAAATTGACCCCAGATACAGTGGGGGTCGAGTTTTTCCACGACCTTTCAAGGTAGTCCATCGCCTGTCGCATCACTAATAAGCGCCGTACTCAATTGGCGATGACGACTCGCGATTTCACTCGCACCGCATCCGAGTTTGGAGTTATGCCAGCGAAGTTCGAGGTGGACCCACTGGGGGACATTTGGTGGGCCTTGGAAGAGGGCTCTGAGCTGCGTACTTTCACTGCGGCTTGGAATATTTTAAAAACAAAATTTACTGATTTTCTTTTACATCTGGAACGCGCGCAGAAGGCACTCGCTGCGCCGCTGGGCCATTCCCCCCACCCGATCCGAACCCAAACGACCCAGCCCAGCCCAGTACGCCCTCCCAGCCCAGCTCCCCTCCCTCCAGCCTCGCGTCGACACCAGGAAATGACGCGAACGGTTTTTGCCCAACCGCGCCAGCCGACCCCACCTCCTTCCCCCACCACTCCACTGCGTCGTCCCCAAGAAACAACGCGCCTGCTTTTTCAGGTGCAATCTGTTCTTGAATCGACGCGTTCGCCAGTGCCAACGCCGCCCCCAACGTCGACGCGTCTGGCCATCCCACCACCAATTCCATGGCATTCGCGCCTGGTAGCCCGACCCCCCTCTCCCACCACCTCTCTGCATCGTCCAACGACCCCACCACGACCGCGTCCGGCCGTCCCACCGTCGATTCCATGGCACTCGCGCCCGATCCAACAGCGCCCGGCCATTCCACCCCCAATCCGATGGAATTTGCGCCATATTACGCGCCGTCCGCCCCCCTCCCCACCTCTCCCTTCGACTTCACCACGCCCTGAAACTGCGCTGTCATCGTCGTCGTCGTCACCGTCACCCTCCCCACACCCTCCCGCGCCAAATCTGGCGCGTCTATCGACTCCACCACGTCCAGTACCACGACAGACGCGTCCTGGCCCCCCTTGGTCGCGTCCACCGTCGAAATGAGCGAGTCTGGTGCCCATCCAGCCGCGCACGGACCCATTCCCGCTTCCCCCTCCCGATCTCCCCGGCCTGCTGCATCCACCAGGTGAGCTACCACCCCGAGTCCACTGTCAAGGCCCTGTGGGCTGGACTGTGGGGGGCTGCTGTGCGGCCCATTGGAGTCTGGGGGCTGGGGCCCTCTTTTTTATATTTTTTATATTTTCTTAAAAATTTTCATAAATCCTCCGTCGTCATTTCGGGGCGTTGCTTCGGACCATTTATGGGGTTCTGGTGATCCAACATCCTAGCCTTGGCACCATTATCAACTCTTAACTTAGCATCTGTCTGACTCGGCTTGACGCGGGTTTGGGGGAGGTCGACTCTGAGCACATTGCATTGCTACCAAACTTGTCACATATATTTACATGAACCCTAAAGGGAGCAGGAGAGCTGACTGTTTGTACATGCGTAATCAATCACTCTCAAAATAATAAAACCAGTGGTGTCGGATTACATTTACTGCATGGGCACTGAGCAATACATGCAATTGGCCAACAGATCACTCATATAGCGCGTCATACAGACGATAATGCGGTAGTGCCGCTGATCTTTGTCTGTTGGATCTGCCATGGCTTCTTTGATACGGCGGACATACCGATTTTCAGGAGGGAAGTTTGCTTCCTGGCGCTGAAAATGGACAGCCCCTGGGCAGCGAAAAAATACACATTAGTGTAACTAACCCGAGTATTAGGTCATGCCAGATATAACATACCCTCCCAGTCAGTTCCAAAGGGGAATTCTTTTCGTTTCTGTACCTTTATAAAAATCCGCAAGTGCTCATAGTTTCCCAAAGAAGGGTGGAGATCCATTAAAGTAGGGTGGGGAAGGTCTGGGAAGAATGACTTGAGTGCATATTGGACAGATGGGTAACGGGAAAATCGCCTGGGCGTTGCATCTGCAAGATCTGCACCCATCCCCTTCACCAGGCTGGTGATTAGATCCCGCAATTGTGCAGGAACAGTGCGAGCAAGGGGGATGGGGTGCGTGTGAGAGCCCTGAAATGTGATTGCAACATAGGGACAATCATGAAGATTGTATGGTGTGTAAATTCGCATTATACAGGTACATGTGATTCGCTTGAGCTTTCCACGACGATTATTTGGTAGACGATGGTCAACAGCTGAGTTGAATCAGATTATGTAAATACTGTAGAGACTTGTTAGACTCACTGCAATGGGTCTGGGTCGACGAGGAATTCTCAACGGTCAAGCACATAGCATCAGGTCCCCAGCCCTGGCTATTGCTCATACACTCGATTTCTTTGACAGTCTCTTCATCATCAAACCATAGGGCCTCAAAGTATTCAGCATCGACACCGACAATTACTTCTTCGAAATGACTTCGGTGCAGAGCAGAGAAGTGTTCGCACCTAGGGGATAATGAGACATCACATCAAGCGTGAATCCTCTAAAAGATGCTCTACCTCACACGAAGGGACCCCCGGTGCAGAGGATCTTCATAATCCATCTCCAGAACCAATCGTCCACTGCAACGTGAGTTACAGTGATCCTGTCCCCGCCGACTTTCAAGATTGTTGTGTAGTTTCTCATTGAGCGCATCCCATTCAGTGTCAGTCATAATGGTTTCGAGATCCTGAGGTGAAGGACAGCCCATCTTTTGGAGTGCAGTATATTTCGCAAGAGTAGCTTGCTGTAAATGTTTTGCTGCTGAGGGATTTCCATAACGTAGACGATGTTCATCACAGACCTGGGTGCTGACATCATCACGGCATGCTAAGCTATGAGGGATGGACTGTAGTTCCAAGTTACTGAATTCGCAAACTTTCATTCCTTGGCCTAGGTAAAGAAGGATCAGTGACGCGACATGTAATTTACGGGCATTAGGGCACCCACAAGTTAGATGTTGTTCCCTGCATCGAGGGTACACACCGCTCTGACCTTTCAATGCATAGCATTGAACATTTTCGTGCATGCCACAAGGGGACCCAAAGCCATATAGGAAGTTGTGCTGTGGTAAAACCGGGCTGGTGGGATCAACGCGAAAAATATGGGGATACGTTCGTTTGGTGAGTCCGTGGTTCTTGGATACTCAACAATCGCTTCAAGAGGCCAACCAATAAGATAGTTGGCATGGAGTTTCCGCGTGACTCTAGTTTCTGTATGGATAGCCGATAATTGATGACGAATATTGTCGGAGGGAAGGGGGGGACACGGCAGAGGTGGCAATGGTGATGTTGGGACATTGACTGGCCTAGGCACGGACGCTCCCTCCTCTGTATCAAGGATTTGAAAGAATTTTTCAGAGAGTTCAGTTGGGATTAAGAGGTCTCCATCATCGGCTACTTTAACATGAGGGAATTTCTCTGGGCGTTCCCAAATGGGACGCGCAGAAACGAAGCTTTCCATACTATGTCATTCAGAATCATGGGGTCCTGAACTGGAAATCAAAAACTTATGTTTCCTCAGTCACTTTAGTGTTGGTACGAATCTGTGGCTCCTCTGTCCAGATACTGGAAGACTCAGCGCAACATTATATAGCAATTTGAGATGCAATCCATTGATTCATCGAAGCGCTGTGCTTCCTATGATGATAGTACAGCGATGGGATAGACCAAATTTCATGGTTTCACTTCGGCAGCTCCGAGGCGGCTTGGTGGCTATACTGAAGCCAGCTGGTTTTGAAATCACGTGTAAGCCGCTATCGGACTGAGGCCCCCGTCGTGAAGTCCCACGGAAATTGCCGAAAACGACGTAGCATAAGCGCCCAGACTTCGCCATGTCTTTTGTGCTAGCACATCTATTGGTTCTGGCTGTTCCGGATTTCATTCCTAGTCTTCCCCTCACTGGCGCTGTGAACTCGAATCTCCATCTATTGAGGATGATCTGTTATGGGGAACTGCATGAAATTCTCGAACGTGTTGTCCCTACTTCAGAACGAATGACACCTCCTCACCCTCATTTCAGGCAGTGGCGCTTGGATGCGGCATTACCGCCTACCTCATTTACTGCACTCTCCTACACTACACAAATTCTTGTGTTTGCATCTATATCGTCAGTTTGTGGCCGGCTTCATTGTGGAATGAACTCAGGCCCTAATTGGGCTACTATAGACCGCGGTAGCGAGCCTGCGAGGCCAGTTTTCAGCGTGGATGATGATGACTAACACATTGTACATACGTCCAAACTCATGTAAAATTCATTGTAGTTCAAATACCATCGACAGAGTGGTATTTTACGAAGTTTGAAACCAGCCAACCTGCACCGCACATATGCTGTAATTTACCATCTTCAAAGTACCATGAAAATGTCGGCAAATGGTAAAAAACGGAGCAAAAAATGGTTTTTTACATCGCTTTACTTCCCACAGTGGACTGCTGCCCTGCTAATCGCTTGCGTCTCCTGCATGCACACA